ATTTATAGATTCAATGCTATCCCCATCAAGCTACCATTGACTTTCTTCAAAGAATCAGAAAAAACTACTTTAAAATTCATATGAAACCAAAAAAGAGCCTGTGTAGCCAAGACAATCCTAAGCAAAAAGAACAAAGCTGGAGGCATCATGCTACCTGACTTCAAACTATACTACAAAGCTACAGTAACCAAAACAGCATGGTACTGGGACAAAACAGATATATAGACCAATGGAACAGAACAGAGGCCTCAGAAATAACACCACACATCTACAACCATCTGATCTTTGACAAACCTGAGAAAAACAAGCAATGGAGAAAGGATTCCCTATTTCATAAATGGTGCTGGGAAAACTGGCTAGCCATATGCAGAAAACTGAAGCTGGAGCCCTTCCTTACACCTTATACAAAAATTAACTCAAGATGGATTAAAGACTTAAATCTAAGACCTAAAACCATAAAAACCCTAGAAGAAAACCTAGGCAACACCTTTCAGGACATAGGCATGGGCAAAGACTTCATGACTAAAACCCCAAAAGCAATCATGACAAAAGCCAAAATAGACAAATGGGATCTAATTAAACTAAAGAGCTTCTGCACAGCAAAAGAAACTATCATCTGAGTGAACAGGCAACCTACAGAATGGGATTTTTGCAATCTATCCATCTGACAAAGGGCTAATATCCAGAATCTACAAATAACTTAAACAAATTTACAAGAAAAAACCCCATCAAAAAGTGGGCAAAGGATACGAACAGATACTTCTCAAAAGAAGACATTTATGTGGCCAAGAAATACATGAAAAAAAGCTCATCATCACTGGTCATTACAGAAATGCAAATCAAAAACACAATGAGATACCATCTCATGCCAGTTAGAATGGTGGTCATTAAAAAGTCAGGAAACAACAGATGCTGGAGAGGATGTGGAGAAATAGGAACACTTCCACACTTTTGGTGGGAGTGTAAACTAGTTCAACCATTGTGGAAGACAGTGTGGCGATTCCTCAAGGATGTAGAACCAGAAATACCATTTGACCCAGCAATCCCATTACTGTGTATATACCCAAAGGATTGTAAATAATTCTACTATAAAGACACATGCACATGTATGTTTATGGCAGCACTATTCACAATAGCAAAGACTTGGAACCAGTCCAAATGCCTATCAATGCTAGACTGGATAAAGAAAATAGAATTTTTAACCAACTGACCGGCTGATTGCTATGATCAGACAAGTCTTGGAACCACTCACTGAGTGTAATCAGATGGGCATTGAAAAAGGGCTGGGTTTTGTGAGTGTGGGTGTCAGGGGTGGGTATGGATGCTAAATCACATGGTCAAAGGGACATTTCCAACTCTGTGTTTGTTGAAGAACATTGGCTTTATGTTCTTCAATGCCCCGTCTGTAATGCCCCACCCATTATATTTCTTTCAAAGTTGATTCAAGAAAGACCTTTGTCTTTCCCAAGAAGGTGGTCTGTATCATTTATGAGATGAAATGTTGCCACTTCCTGAGCTCCTGTTGCCTCAGTTTCCAGGAAATGCGATGCCAAGTTTTAGGCTCTATCACTATTACCATGTCTACTACTATGATTGGCCTGTTAGATTTTCTTTTCCCACCATTTTTACCTTCTTTCAAATCCCTATTTTAATTAATTTTTAAAATTTTTTTGTAAGTGACTTCCAATTTTTTTTTCCCTAAAAAGTGGCAGAGTATAAATGTATTAAATTGAACCCATAATTAATAGTTGCTAATGGAAAGAAAATAAGGGGGTGATTAAATGATGACAAATTTAAATAACTTTCATTTCTGAATGCAGTTGTACCTGTACCAAACATATGTGCATTTTATCCTTACTCCTGCCAATGACCTAATGTGGGTTAGGGAGAGAGCCAAAGAGGCCTAGGTCAATTACGAGTACTTGGAAAAATGCATATTCTAAAGCTAACTGATGTAATTTGCATCAGCAAATAATAATTTCATTTCTATATAATAACAATAGATGATAACAATATTTCTAATAATGATAATAGTTATATATAGGTAGGGTGACTTTTTCCCTCTTATTCATAATTCATAATTATGGGTGTAATTAGAGATATGGTAGGCAGTATGTTTACTTCTTTTGTTTTCATATTAAAATAAAGATCCACCCAGGGAATGCACAAAAGCAAGAAACACAAAGCAGACAGAGGAATTAGTAATGAAAATCAAGCCCCTCAGCCATCCCGTTCAACAACAGTCCTTCTCGGAGGTTGTCGCTTTGAACTACTTCAGTTTTCAATTATGTCAGTGGCCAATAATTTCAGGTAGTATGGATATACCATTGTTTTTAAATTTATCTTGTTTTGCTCTTTGCTGTTTTGAGATTTCAATTCTGTGTCCAAGTGGTTCCCTTTATATGCAGGGTACTCCATGAGCCCATACAAATAGAAGACACTTTCTTCAAGTCTGAGAATATTTGATTATTATTTCTCTGATAATCTCTCACTCTTCATTTTCTCTATTCTCCCTTTCAGGAAATCCTACTGGATCATTCCTCCTCATGTCTTCCCTCCCTCCATCCTGCTCCCTTTCTTTCCGTTGCTTAGAGAAGATTTTGTTTTTCTTCCTGGAAGGTAAATACCGGCTTACCTACCTCTCTGTGAACAGGGTAACTGGTCCAATGTTTCTTTTGCCAGGTATTCAACTAATTCCTGGTTTTCAGTTTTGTGCCTCACACCTGTCCTCCTCCTTGATGACGTTTGTAGGTTTCTTCTGCAAAGTCTGTTTCCCACCTCCACTGTAGATTTATCCTGCACACACTGGACTGTAGCTGTCTCTGCTCGGTTTGTCATCAGTTGCGCCTCTGGGCCTTCTCTCTTTCAGAATGTATTTATGAATTTATCTCCTGTGGATTTCTTTACTTTCACTAAGTTTTTAGTCTATTAGTTAGAGTGGGTCATATTATGATGCAGTAACAAACAAACCCTGATATCTCAGTGGCTTCATCCAATCAAGGTGTATTTCTGCCTCACACAAAGTCCAGTTTGATGCTCCTGTTTGGGCAGCTCTTCTGGTCAGTTCTCCTGAAAACTGTGAGTCCTTCACTTCTTTTATTTTTTTCCTGCTTTACTACTGTGCTATTAAGTATATATATCATATTTTACTAAAGCATCGCCTGATCATTGGGTCTTTAGATCATTCCAATGTTTTGCTTTTATAAGCATTGCTGCTACAAACTTTTAAAAACATATTTTAAATTTTTCTTCACTTAGAATTTTTCCTTAGACATGGAATTACTGAATAAAGAGTCTAAAAAAATTTTAATGTCTACCAAATTGCTCTCCAGAAGGCTTTTTCAATCTATTCTCCCACAACATTATTATTGTTATTTTCTAATTTAATTTTGCACTTGAAGAATCTTTATTTTATTGAAGCTTTAATTACGCATGGGAGAGAAGATTTCCTCCCTTTTGTAACAAATTACATTTCATCATTTTATATTGTTTGTTCAGTAACTTTAACATTTTTTCTATTGGAAATTATAAATTTTTAAAATGAACTCTTCATATATTAAGCCTAGTAACCCTTTGGATAACTCATTTTATCACATGCTAGAGGCTTGTATAAAAACACGCAAACTTGGTTTCAATTTACCAAGAACTGCTGGCTACTTTATCTTTTCTCCTTTGCTGTTTCTCGGTAATGGAGAAATGAGCTATAAACCCACTTTCGAGGACTTACAGTTTCTCTTTTTTCTTCAACAGGTTATGGACAAAGTTTTCCTAGAAAGTTTGTTTATCAATTTTGCTTAGAGGAGTGAGTGTAGAGTATAGTTTATTGGGAGAAGGTGAAGCAACGTTTTAGGACTGAGAGACAATGGTGGAATGGGGCCTAGGAGAGTAGCTGGCAGAGAAGAAAAGGCAAATCATTTTAGATATTTGGAAATGAAATGACTAGGTGTCAGAGTAGAGACGGAGGGGTATGATGGGGTCAAATCTCGAGATTGGGAAAATAGTTAAATGAGACTATGACATATAAAATAGTTAAATAACAATGAGACTATATTGCAGAGAAATGTCTGTCACAATCAGAGCTTCAGCTAAAACCACACAGGGGACTTAATGATTATTAAAAGCATTAAGGAAAGGTGAAACTTTATCAGTTTTTTACACTTCACTCTTAATGTGTTAATGACTTGTTCTGATTCTTTCCTGAGAATGCCCTTTGGTAAGAGGAGGGAGCAAACCTGCAGCACTGAGGTGCGACTTGGAGACAACAATGAGAAGGAAAAGGCAGAGAGAGAGGTGGAGGATCCAAAGGCACATTTTCTCCATTTGGTCGAGTGTGATGCATTCTGGACAATGACTTGGGCGCCACCAGAAAAGGGGAGAATGTAAAGGGCAGGCAATATATGGAGGCTATTCCCTGAGGAAGTGCTGGAGAGCATGCCATGGCTTGAGAGAACTAATTTCTGAGACAGGTAGGATGCAGAAAACCATGGCAAATGCAAAGGCTGCCCAAGGAGCCATGTGGGTGGATGTCTTCCATTTTAGCAGTGAAAGCTGCAGGGATATAGTTACAGCGGGATCATCGGGGATGCCTCTGCTTCTAATTCTCTGTGTGTCAAAACTTGCCAACTCTGCAAAAAAGATCCCAAACAAAAAGATACAGTTGATTTATTCTGTCTAGGTTCAGAGTAGAAGTTTATATAATATATTGGTCAATGATACTGAAAGAGCCAAAAATATGACAGCAGAGATTAAATGTCAAGCCAGATTTATCTTGTGTGACCATTTCTGGATGATGTAAAATAGCACACTATCTTTAGTTTGGAAGCATATTAATTTATCTGGATTTTTTTTTACTTGAGGGGTAAACTCATGTTTAGGATTTCATTAAAAATAGGTAATTCAATCCAACAACTAGACCTTATGTGGGGTAATTCTTTTTTACTTTAAGGTGGGAGAGCAAAGGGTGTTTTTCAAAAACTAATTTCCTAATTTTCAATTTCTAGAGATCTTTTAAAGCCATCAGAACTATTGCTGCCTAAGACATGCATGGCAAATAAAAGTGTCTCACTGGATTTCAAATAAGGGGAATAATCAATGTTAAGTGCTGCCTTGTTGGATTTCTTCCTGATTTTTTTGAAGCTCCGGTAAGTTTTATAATTTCTCTTTTATGCACTAAATTGTGGGTATACTCTAGAATGTATCTCATCATGAAGCAGATATAATACTAGCTGATACATATTAAAATGGTTAGTAAACATTGCTTTTAAACGATTGTGACTCACACCAAAATTTGTATTTAGTAACCTAAATACTGTTAGGAGGAAGCCCCCCCAAATCCGGCCATAAACTGGCCTGAAAACTGGCCATAAACAAAATCTCTTCATGTCCATAATGGCCCTAACGCCCAAGATGGAAGGTTGTGGGTTTACAGGAATGAGGGCAAGGAACACCTGGCCCGCCCAGGGTGGAAAACCACTTAAAGATATTCTTAAGCCACAAACAATAGCATGAGTGATCTGTGTCTTAAGGGCATGTTCCTGCGGCAGTTAACTAGCCCAACCTATTCATTTAATTCAGCCTGTCCCTTTGTTTCCCATAAGGGATACTTTTAGTTAATTTTATCTATAGAAACAATGTTAATGACTAGTTTGCTGTTAATAAATATGTGAGTAAATCTCTGTTCTGGGCTCTCAGCTCTGAAGGCTGTGAGACCCCTGATTTCCCACTTCACACCTCTATATTTCTGTGTGTGTGTCTTTAATTCCTCTAGCGCTGCTGGGTTAGGGTCTCCCTGAATACACTTATAAAACAGATGATATCCTGTTGTCCTAATTTCAGCTGATGCTCTAAAGCTGAATACAAAGCAATAACTACCTCCTACATTCCAGAGGTGGGTGGATTAGTGACTTTCTTGCTGGATTTATAAGAGGATAGCAGAGCCAGTCATAAAATGATCAACCCTGTCTCTCACCTTCAAGCCACCCAAAATAAGGTTAGCCTTTTGAAAGATGGGCTGGAGAAAGCCATCAAGGTAAACAGTTAAAGGTAAAAGGGTTGTGTCAGCCCAGAAGTAGTGGCTGTGTGTGTGCATGTGTGTGTGTGTATGTGTGTGCATGTGCACACATATACATGGCCAGGGAGGTGGGCAGTAGCACATCAAGAGAGCTGCTCATAGAGATTTGGCATATTCTTAAAAAAAGAGAGAGAATCTCATTTCCTTTCCCACCTGGCTGTTTGCTGAGCCATAGAAGTTTGTTAGCTCACTCCAGGCACTGGAGTGGAGCTCATAGAGATTTTCTGGAAGTTGCCTGGCTCTGGCAAAGGGGTGGCAGCTGCAGGGCCTGTATTCCCACTGGGAAGAATGGCAAGGATGTGAATTGTCCATAGGTCAGCTAGACATTGAGGAGTGAACCCAGGCTGGAGTCATCATTATGGACTGTTAAATTAAGTGTAGCCTAAAGTTGCCTCCTTACATAGTTAAGTTCAGCCTAAAGGTTTCTCTGTACGTAGTGAACTGTAACCTAACTGGATGTGTAAACAGACCATAACCTACTCTTGGGCCAGTCACTGAGGTTTTGCCAATCAAAGGTGGCCAACTGTTCAAACCATGTTTAAATAAGGCAAACATGGAGCTGAAACCAATCCAGCTCTTTCTCTACTTCCCTTCCATTTTTGTACATCACTTGCCTTTGTCTGTTTATAAATCTTCTTTATACATGTGGCAGCACTGGAGTCTCTCTGAACCTCTTCTGGTTCAGGGGCTTTCTGATTCACAAGTTGTTCTTTTCTCATCTAAACTCCAAATTTAGCTAGGCGTGGTGGCTCACACCTGTAATCCCAGCACTTGGGGAGGCCAAGGTGGGCAGATCACTTGAGGTCAGGAGTTCTAGACCAGCTTGGCCAACATGGTGAAACCCCGTCTCTACTAAAAATACAAAAATTAGCAGGGTGTGGTGGTTCATGCCTGTAATCCCAGCTGCCTGGGGGGCTGAGGCACGAGAATCGCTTGAACCCGGGAGGCAGAGGTTGCAGTGAGCCAAGATTGTAGCACTGCACTCCAGCCTGGGTGACAGAGTGAAACTGTGTCTCAAAACAAAACAAAACAAAACAAAATCCTCCAAATTTAATTTGTCTAAAGATTTTCTTTTGACATGCCCAAGAGGGCAAACTTCAGGCCTGAGGTCCAGAAGCCCCTTAAAAAAGAGTTTAAATCTCATCGACAGCTGATGTTCACACCTATCCTGATGTGTCTGAATATCGCTATAACAGACGCTTACCCCGTGGGAACCTGGTTTGAGGGAGATTAGAAACAGGGTCCATGGGAGAAAGTTACCCTCAGTGAACAAGGAGTTGGAAAGGATGGGGAAGACCAAGCCTGTGACCCAATGTCAGGATGGCACAGGGGATCCAAGTCGGACAACCGTGCCCTCCTGCCCACATCCATGTGTTCTGTGTAAGAGGATTGTGTATGAGGATGATGCAAAATAATAATGCCACAAGAGCCCCCAACTCCACTGTTGTGAGTGCCCTTGACTCTTCTGAACAAAAGGGACATTAAGAAAGAAGCTGCTGCCCTGAGATGTTAGCAGGAGAGAGGCAGTAGTGGCCACCACAAAATGGAGGCCAATGCCTGAGGCTGGCAGTGCAGAGAGGGCGGAGGCCTAGGGTTCCTTGTAGCCAAGAGCAGGTCAGTATAGGATGTAGTGGCCTCAGTAATCCCACAGCAATGGCACTGGAACCCAGGAACACCAAAACTGTGTGATGGAGAAAGCAGTTAGAGAGCAGGACCGGGCTGGTCAGATGATGGCTCCACTCTGAACATAGTAGCATCACCACTGTGTCTGCTGTCTTGGAGCCTCTCAGACACCTTTGGACTGGGAGCTTGAAGGTAATTCCTATCTAGTAGATGAGGACCACTCATTCATCCCACCTAGCCATACAGTTTCAAAGTGCTCTTCTATGATTGTCAAGCTGCATGGGACCTTGGGAACCCCTGGGTTACACTACAGACTCAAGTGTGACTCACCCACCCCCAAGGAGGGTATTTCTTTAGAAAGCCTCTGTGATACTCATTAGAGAGCACTGTAGGATCTTGATAAGGAGGACAAGTGTGGCAACTTTCAACATTTAGTGGGCTTTAAAATAGTTTTGCCCAGACTATAATCTAAGACTAAAAACCCTAATCTTCATGAAGAAGTTAATATTGAATAAGTCTCTGGTTGAGTAAAAGAAGGAAAAGAAGTGTACCCCAAATGCTTTGAGGTGTTGCTCTACTTGCTTCTCTTCTGGAGGACAATGACCCACAAGTGAGATTCCTTGTAGGAGCCTTGAAATGGTACAACAGCTGATTTTATTGGAAAGAAGGGGTGCCAGTGCATATCAGACACCTCTTCCTGTCCATCAGATAGATTTCCTAGATGGCTGCAGGGTCAATGTGCAGTCTGCGATAAATGCACTCACATATTGTAACCCAAAGAGAAACATGAAATGATTCCTTTGTCCAGGAGAATTTCAGAGGTTGAAAACTCCATGACCCTTTAACCTCCCAATCCCTTTCCTCTGTGCACTCTCTTTCCTCTTGCCTTGTTTTGTTGAGGGATTTTCTTTTGTCTTCTGATTCTGCTTCATTTGGCCAGCTCTCTGTGGGTCTTTGGCACCTGGGAAGGTCTGAATGTGGCCTTTGTGTTTGCTGAACTGCACTGTGCCCAGCCAGGCAGAGATGATCACTAAGCTTTTCTATAGCTTCATAACTGCAAATTGCTCAGCCATTTGTTGTTTAATCCTCACAAGCCCTTTGTCCTGGAGGCAGTGCGGCATTATCATCACCCTTCATTTTCCAGTCGAGAAGGCGGACGATATGTGACTTGTTCAAGGACGTAGGTTGAGTTGAGAATCTGTCTACTTGGACCACGGGAGACTTGAAAGTGAACACAATAGCAGTGAAGCCCAACTGGGAAGAGTGGGTTAAACTGGGGTAGGCTGAAGTTTGCATCCTTTTGAATAAATTGTGACACCCTAAATTGAAGGTGTGAAAGAGTTACTGGTTGAAGACCTCTAGTGGGGAATCATGCCACAAAGAGAGCTTGTAAACTCAGATTATTTCTGGGTGGTAGCACTTCTAGAGATATAATTTTGAGGTTAGTGTCATATAGGTTCCTTGATTACTTTAGGTGATCTATCCAGGCAATAATGAGTCAATAAAAGTCTCTGTTCAGCAGCACACAGCTTGTACTCCCATCCTGCCTATTGCGAAGGCTTTGTCCCTTCCCCCGGACCATGTCATTTCCCCCACCTTTTGAAGGTATCTTTTTTTTCTGCTTCATTAAGAAAATCTAACTCATAAGGCTTTTAGCTTCCTCATTCTTCCTCTTTTCATATTTTCGAAGCTGTCCTTTTATTAATCCTACCTCCTCTCCGGTTTTTAAGAGAAAGTGGATCTGTCCTTTTGTCTGGGGGCAATCTTACCTTCCTCCCCTTGGTTACATTTGATTTACCTTCTCAATGATTTCCTTCACTCTCCCCAGTCCCCTCTTCCTCTCTGGCATTTAATACCTCTTGTATTGACTCCAATTCCTACATGTATGCATTCACGATGCTCCTTTAGGTGATCCTAATACTCTTTCCAGCTGCCTGAATATTTTCCTCTTTCCTCCTCTTGTAAACCTTTTGAACCAGAAGACTCCACTTTTTATCTCCACTTCTTACCTCCCACCTTCAACCTCTTGTAGTCTTGCTCTGACATCACATGCTGTGGTTGCTGCACTCACTCTTCTGTGCGTTTGGTCTCCAATGACCTGTGATTGACCATACACACAAGGTTTTTTTTTTTCTTGCCTTCACATGTGATTATTGTATGCAACGTTTGCCATTGTAGATTATCCCTTGCTGTTGGAATCTTTTTCTCATTGAGTCCCATAATGCAGCCTGTCCTTGTCCCTTTCTGTGTTGGACTGTTCCCTGTGTCCTTCATAAGCGCCTTCAACCATATCCAGAGGTGCTTTCTTATCTTATGTCCCTCAGATAATTCACTTAGGGCTTTCTCTAGTGATCCACTATTATGACAATATGACACCTAAGTCTCTACCTCTACCTTGAAATACCCTGCTGTGCTCCAACTCCTAATTTCAGACTTGTCACTGGATGTTTCCAAATAGATGACATGACAGCAGCTGAGGCAAAATGTATATAAAATGGAATTCATCATCTGCCCTCTAAAACTGCTTCTTCCTCCTGAGTTCCCATTTCTGTTAATTATGTCACCAAGGGCTAAATCTTAGGGCCATCTTTAATCCCTTTCTCTCCTTGTCTCCTATCATCCAATTAAGTCCTGTCACTTCCTCCATCACAGTGTGCCTTGGATGTGTCCTTTGCCCTCACACTGCCGTGGTCCTGGTGCACTGCCTCTGACCTTGGCCTTCCTCATCTCTATCACTTGCCACCTGGCCTCTCTCTCTCCAGGCTCTCCTCTACAATCCATGCAGCACATTCTCTAGAAGAATTTCCTTGCATTTCCAGTTGCAGAGTGACAGTTATTTTGTTCACATTCTTTCCTGGCTCAGAAATTAGCAGTAGTTTCTTATTACTTCTGAAATCAGCTTCAAATGTAGCTGCCTTCAGACTCTCTGCCTCTGGGCCCTGCTGCACATTTCTAGCCTGTTCTTCCCCTTAATGTCGCACAACACTCTGCTTCACTCAAACTTAAAATCCCTGAAATGCTCCTTGTTGTTTTTCACATCTTGGTTTTGGTTTATGGCATTTCCTCTTCCTCTGACGCACTTTCTCTGTTCTCCATCCCCAATGCTTCAAAACTGCCTATTCTTCATGACCCAGTCCAAATACTACTTAATTCAAGGGGTCAATTCAGGTGAGAGGAAGGAAGGAAGGAAGGAAGGAGATTCCCTACAATGTCCTGACAGCTATGCACTGACACTCTCAGCCATCCATGTACTATGTATCTCTCCACTGCTCTTGTAAGCAGTGCTTCTCAATCTCAGCTGTACAGTAGAATCACCTGGGAGCTTCTAAAAATTACCAAAGCTCAGGCTCCATCCCAGACCAGTGAAATCAGAATCTCTGCGGCCATGACCCAGTGATTGATATTTTTAAGGCTCATTGCATGACTCCTCTGTGCAGCCAAGGATTAATGTCTACTACTATGTGAATTTTTGTAGATTATTTTTAGTGGCTCTGCATGTTTTTCCTGTTTCCAACTTTGGTTCTTGTGGGATTCTTTGTTTTTTAGCCTCTGTGATGTCTAGCACTGTTGTTTGTTTGTTTTGAGACGGAGTCTTGCTCTGTCGCCCAGGCTGGAGTGCAGTGGTGCGATCTCGGCTTACTGCAACCTCCACCTCCCTGGTTCAAGCAATTCCCCTGCCTGAGGCTCCTGAGTAGCTGGGATTACAGGTGCACACTACCAAACCTGGCTAATTTTTTTTGTATTTTTAGTAGAGATGGGGTTTCACCGTGTTGGCCAGACTAGTCTTGAACTCCTGGTCTCAGGCAATCCGCCTGCCTCTGCCTCCCAAAGTGCTGAGATTACAGACATGAGCCACCGCTCCTGGCCAGCAGTGTTTTTTATACTCAGTGGAACTTCAAAGAAAAAAAGTGTTAAGATTTAAGAATGGAAAACAAATAAAAAGAGTTGAGTTTTAGGGAAGGAATGCCAACTGGCTCAGTGGCTATCCCACACTGGAAATGTTGAGTTAAGAGTCTCTTATATGTTAAATAACTGACTTCAAGTATTTGGTGTAAACTCTTTGTATCCAAGCAGTTAATATGCCAATTGAATATTTATTAACATTTGTCTCATGAAACCTTACTTGTCCATGTAATAATGTTAGTTTGGAGCAAAAGTAATTGTGGTTTTTGCCTTTAAAAGTAATTGTATGTAGCAATTAATATAATGCTACATACAACTCAAATACCTTAGATGAGTACCTGTTCTACCTCTTGGGTTGTTCTCAAGATTAAACACATAAAACTTCTGGGAAAAAACAAAAACTTTAAAAACTGTGGTTAGATATTATTTTTAATGAAGCTGTATTTTGTGTATATATATATTTTTTAAAGACATGAATCTTAAAGAACTCCTATTCAATGCATTCTGCCTTTCAGGAACACCATCGAATACCTTAAGTCAAAAGGAAAACTTGTCTTGTGGTGGGCATATCTACTTCTCTCCCTGTGCTATATTTCTGATAACAATTTGTGGATGTTGCAGAGTTTATTTTAGTCTAGGGGATGGGAATGAATTTAAAATCATTTCTACCTCAGGTGAGGCAGCCCCTTTCAGAAAAAAATAGGAAGTAAAGAAGGAAGACTGCTCAGAAAATTCTCTTTTCAACTTAGAAAAAGCACAGAATACCTCTTGGAGAGTGATTTAACAACCTGAACTCTGTAGCTGTATAGATTTGTGTTCAAAATCTGGCTCAGTTTACCAGCTATGTTGATCTTGGACAAAGTGCTTGGCCTTTCTGTGCTTTGGTGTCCTCAGCTGTGCATAGAGAGTAACATTTAGGTCTCAGTGTTGGCAGGATTGAGCCATATGATATATGGAAGGTAGCTGACACTTAGTAGGACCTCACAGAGGTTCCCTTTTCCTTAAGGCACCATGGATATCAATGAGTCTTGTTTTTGTTGTGACCTTAGCAGGCTTCCTCTTAGTGTTTTTCAGGGCGTGCATTTTACTGGTATGTTTGTAAACAGAAATATACAATTTTGCTTTGGGTCTGAGAGGTTTTCATTATTTTTTGAACCACATAATGATTTTCTTTCTTTCCTCTTCTGCAAATTCATTGAATGTTGGAATTCCTTTGCAGTACCTTTGCCATAAATTCTACTCACTACATATAATTTAAATCAAGCAGGTATAACATAATTGCCCTCATAAGGAGAGTGTAGGATGGTATACAAACTTTGCTTCCAAGGAATTCACATTGCCATTTGAAAAAATTTCGAAACTGATTTTCCCAGTTGCAGAAGTTTCTGGAAACTTGGATTGAAGAGTCTACATACTTTTGTGGGATTCTAGTTAATGTATTGCCTTGAACATAGATTCCTTGAACGAGTGACAGTAGTCTCTTATAAATCTCAGAAAAGTTCACCCTCATTCTAGTTACAAGTCCTATGCCATGAATCAAATCTTAGCAAAGACCAGCTTAGAAATCTTGAAAAAGGCCTGACATTTTGTTAAAATGACAGGCAAATAGATTTCTCCTGCCCTCCCTCCTCACATTTCCTTTCCCTGTTCAACAACAGTACAATTTGTGTAGTGGTATTTTCAGTCTTACTTCTTTTTCTATACTGAAAGTAATTTTTAAAGCATGAAACTAGGTACTTTGTTGCCCCCATACAGAAAGACTTTACAAGTTTAGCTGGAATAGAGCTGAAGAGCACATAAAGTTGATGTCAAGGCCTACTTACACTGAAGTAAAATTAGATTTATGGATTGAAATGGGAAGCCTAATTTTTATGTGCCTCCTTCCTAAAAGTCAGCTATTATCTAGAGGGAAAACTATCTGAACCAATCTGAGTGAACCCAACCCATTTCATCTTCTAAGACTGGTTTGTTCATTACTTAGGAGATAAAGGCAGAGACTAGCTCATGGGGATTAAGAATGACAGAGTGACCCTCTGACACTAAGTTATAAATGTATTAGCATATTTTAGTACCTTGCCCAGACAGCCTGAGTCTTTCAAAAAAATTATTTTTTAAAGAATGATAAGATACATTTTTCCTCCACCCCAATTTAAATTTTCTGAATTTCTATTCACTGTTCACTATTTCCAATTCCTGGGTAACTCATCAATTTTTTAAATTTTTGTTTCTTTCCTAGCTTCTTCTGTTTCAGAGCTATGTTTCCCCAGTGGGCTACCACATCTCTGGGTTTCCAGTACTTGGAATTTTGCTTCCCAGTTGCAGAGCTAAGAAGCCAATTCACATTCCATCGTTGTCCTAAAGTCTTTTTCCTATTTTGAATACCCCATCTTGTCTGGATCTATCAAGGGGTAAGAAATATGTATTACTTTGACCTGAAAAATTCCTTGCTGAGTCCCACTCCATTAGAAAACAATAATATTTAAAAGAAATCAGCCAATCACAATTCCTAGGCCTGAACAGTTCACAGGATTTCAGAGGGAGTCTTTGTGTGATTGTTTCTCTTCACATGGTGACTGAAACAATTCAGGCTTAAAACACTCTGATCATTAGTTGGTATTACAGATGGTAGGATGAGCAATTATGCTGAATTGAATTTTTCCCATCTTAGCTATTTTAGGTTAAAGAGTCAGTGTAGAGCATGAGCTCTTAGGTGAGGTTTTCCAATGTTCCGAGGTTTTCCAACCCAGATGAAGTTACTGTCTGAGCTCCTGGCAAATGTTGAAGTTTTCCCTGTAATCCTGATAGGTTTCACCACAATTCTGATACATATTACTTGGTTTAATTATGTGCCATAGTCATAGAATTTTGGAAGTAGGAAGAAGCTTAAGGGTATCTAGTTAAATGCCCTTCTCTGTATTCTACAGATAAGAACACGGAGTTCGAATGGGATCTCAGAGAAATCTCAGAGAAAAATGAACTGGGGCATTTTTAAGTTTAACTTTCCTCCCAAGGAACTAATCCTTATCTCAGTATTTTCTAAATTAGACCAGCCACATTTTTCTTGCCTTGACATTCTCATTTCCCTTTGGACAGAGTAGGTTAGTCAAAATTTAGTGAAATGATAGACAATGATGTTGGTATTTAATTCAGATTCTTTTTTTTTGAGACAGAGTCTTGCTCTGTCTCCCAGGCCGGAGTGCAGTGGCGGGATCTCGGCTCATTGCAAGCTCAGCCTCCCAGGTTCATGCCATTCTTCTGCCTCAGCCTCCCGAGTAGCTGAGACTACAAATGCTCGCCACTACACCCAGCTAATTTTTTGTATTTTTAGTAGAGACGGGGTTTCACTGTGTTAGCCAGGATGATCTCGATCTTCTGACCTCATGATCTGCCCGCCTCGGCCTCCCAAAGTGCTGGGATTAGAATGTTTTCAAAGGATGTCTAACAAAAACCAAGAAGTCCAGTGACTGCTGGTGCTATTGGGACTGGGACATAGGAACCTTGCCCAATTCATGAGAGCTTCTCAGTGGCTGCTAGGAGACAGCTCTGGGAAATATATTTCTCAATAGAATTTGGTAGACTGGAGATGTGCGATCTTGAACTGTGATCCTTTGGGACATTTCCATCTCCCATATAAATTTATAACAAAGTTATCTGTCTATGGGCAGAAAGGAGGTGATCAGAAAAGATCAGAAGAGAATATGGAATAGCTCTGTGGTCAGTTATTCCAAAGCTAGGTTACAGGTGGGTGAAGTAGTAGATGGCATGATTTGGGTACATGGGCAGGATGAAGATGAACTTGCCTGGAATTATGTATTCCATGGGCCTGCACAAATACCTCCATCCCCTTTTAGAGATGTAGAAATCACCTGCTAAGATTCACCTACTTTCCTGGATACACAGAACTGTATGGGGGAAGGAGCTTGGGTTTTCATGCCAGGCAAGTTTCATCCTAATGCCAGTCCTATCAACTACTCAATCTTAGAGGCAGGAAGAGAGTCACTAGCACTCTCTTTTCCTTGAAAAATGAAAAGATAAAAAATATATGGCTGTTGCCATGGATTTGTCCCTGTGCAATGCTGTAACAGTCTCCTTATTGAAGCTTTTGTTCACATTCCTAGCTGCAAAGGCAATGTATGTAAGCTCTGTGAAGGCAAGATCATGTCTATTGGGTCCACAGATGTATCTTCAGGGCCTGGCACAGTGCATACTTGACAAATATTTGTTGATAAAGAGGGAGGAGGTTGGAATAGTCAGAATCATAGAGGTACAAAGTTGAATAGTGGTTACCAGGGGCTGGAGGAGGTGATAATGGGGAATTATTGATTAACCAATCCAGAACTTAAGTTTCGGATGATGAAAAATTCTGGAGATGGACAGGGGTGATGGTTGCACAACAATGTGAATGTAGGGAACTTAAAGACACTGAACTGCGCACACGGAAATGGTTAAAATGATAAATTTTATGTCATGTATATTTTAAACCCCCCACCCCCAGACAAGATGGATGTATCTCTGTGGAAATAACATTTCCTGGCTCAGTAAGATTTCATTATTTTCTTACTTGCAGCTTGTGTAAACAAACCAAAACATTTTGTTATCAATGACTCTAGCACATGTTTTCATAAGATTATGTATTTTCTACATTAGTGGACTCACTTTAGCCATACTTTCTTCTGAGAGGTAGGCAAGGGCAAGGTGGGTATTAACTGTCTCTAAAGCATGGGGCTTGTTCACATAGCAAGTTAAGAGCATTATTTGACTTAGAAATGGGATTAGCTCCCTAGGACTTTTGGAGAATGTACATGATTTTACACAATTAGCAGGAAGAGGTAACGTGAAGGTCTTGGATGAGAAGTGCCATGATGTTCTGGAGTAAGGATTTCAATTTGGTGGTAAAGAGAGCACTTGCCTGTTCAGTGTTAACCTAAAGTTGACTGAGTAGAGCATCTTTTTTAGGATGTTTTCTTAAGGGAAATGAGACTGGTTCTTATCTCTGTTGGCCTGAGGAGGCTTCTACTCTTTTCTATGACCTCTGTTCCTTCTTTCCATAGTTCTTGAGGCTTCTACTCTTTTCTGCAACCTCTGTTCCTTCTTTCCGTAGTTCTTCAGGGCATTCCCTGTGGCCCCGGAGGCAGCAGACAATGTTTAAGTTCTATTTAATGGCTGTTACTTTTCTGCTTTCCTATTTATGTCAGAGATGATTATGATTCAGAGAATCTCCATGTTCCCGCACATTTCCTAGCCTTTTGTAGCTAGGCAGGGCTATGTGGTAACTGGCCAATGGGCAGAGCAGAAGCAATGCTTGTCACTTTGAGACTCAAGTGTTTAAAGATCCATGTGAAGCCCTCCTGCTCCTTCCACTGCTGTAGTGATTTGGAAAGTGTTGAGATGTGAAACATCTGTCAGTGTTGGTCCCTGAGTCACCGTGTGGAGCAGATCCTCCCTCCCCTCTCCTTTGCCCTCTCCCACTGTGCAAGCTTGAGTGAGAAACATATCCTTGGTATGTTAAAATTCTGAACTCTCAGGGTCAATTTATTAATGCCTATCTTAACTCACCCCCTATTAGACTCACTCCCTATTTTCCTTGAGAGCAGGAGTTATATGCATGTGCTTCTAAAAATCTTTGTATCCTGGGTACCTCACACGGTGTTTTGCATGTGGTAGATACTGAGTACATGCTTACTGAATGAATAAATGCATGAAAAGATAACTGAATGCATTCATAATTCGCCATGCTAGGTATTCACATTGAATACAACATGAGCTGTCTTATCTACTTCTGGGTGTTGATAGTCCCCTAGAGTCCTTAGAGTGTCCTTTGTCTGCAACCTCCCTTCTTAGACTTGTTCTCATCTGTGAGGGTACAGAATGCTGACTGACCCACATGGCATGCTGGGAAAGAAAGGCGTAGAAAACACTTGACATTATATTTTGCTACCACCCCTCCCTGCTCAGCCTATCCCTCTGAGCCTCAGCTATCTTCATTTTTATAATTCTGCCCCTGAACTGGGATTGAGACAAACCTTTTGCTTCTATTTGATATTTTCCTCTGCTTTAAAAAATGGGGAACAAATAATTATAATTTTGACAGTTGGCCTCTTATACTGTGCCATGCACTGTAGTAAGTGCTTTACTTGAATTATTTTATTTAATTTTCATTACACTGAGTGAGATAACTACTATTAGAACCCTAGTTTAGAGGGGAGGAAACCGAGGTCCCTAAGCTGGACTTGCCCTAGGTCTCATGGCAAGGGGAGCAGAATAGCAGAGCTGGAATCTCTGTCATGGGCTCTCTGGGGTCAAGGCTTATATTCCTAAACATTAAACTGTTCTCCGATGCCATGTCCTTCTTTGCAACTTTTCCAGAGCTTCTCTGCTGCAGGAGTTAGTCTCTGGACTCCACACCTCCAACAACCTGGCCCCCGGGCACTTCACTGCCACATGGCTCACAGCCCCACATCTTCTGGTTTCTTTATTAAAGTGGTTCTTCCACACAGTTCTTGCTGGACACTGTGCTAACTGCCTGGCCAGCTGATCTGTCCCCGAGTCTTCAGATTGGGCAGTCCCCCTACCTGGTGCTCTGTGAAATCTTTCCCTCCTCTGGTTGGATTCCCTCAGATGTCTCAATTATTTCCAGGCATTAGCCATTGAGAGGATCATGCTTCAAGGCAGATTTTCTGGCCTCCTCCTCACCTGTGTGCACTGAGCTCTTAGGTCTCCCTCGTTCATTTAATGGACAGCCATCAGATCACATTGCTTGGCTTGTGTCTAAAGTGATATTGTTCTCATTGCTAGAGGATTTCATGTAGTAGTCTTTGAATATTCTTAAGACTTGGACAACTCCTCCACAGACATGCATATAATGGTTGCTGAGGATACCTCCTGCTGCTTCTAAGATGTTAGAGTCAAGAGAAACCCAAAGTGAAGCTTTTGTTTATTATTTTCTGAACACTCTACATCAATTTATTCTTACTTTTTTATATTGAGGTATAACAGTAAGTGGACATGTCTTCAGGCACAGTTTTCAGTAAGACCTAGTTTAGGAAGTTGAGTTTTTAGAAGTGAATTCCCTTAAAATCTCCCTGAATCCATGGTCCCCATGGTAAGTCTTCATGATCTCAAAAGAAAAGTCCTATTTCCCTTCTGACTTCATACAACATTTATTAGATGACTTTTCTGTTTTTGTTTTTTTTTAAATATATGCTCATTGTAGAAAATGCAGAGAAGTTCTGTAGAGCTCTTTGTCCAAGTCTGGTGGGTTCTTTCTGAAATTTTAAATTAAGGTCTCTGTACATAAATCTCTATTCTTCATTTAAATCAGCTGACACTAAACTGACTTTAAAGTCAGACCACTAAATCTTGGATTCAAGGCAGCATCTGAGGCCCCTCTTTGGGTTGAATTATGCAT